AAAAAATTTTCACTCCAGTTTGAAAAAGTAATCGCTAACAGTACTCTGCTGTAGCTGGGCCTGGCAAGCGCTCATCGTGGAATGGCCAACTGGGATTATTCCAGCTACAGCGCTTTTTATTTATCGATGAAAAACAGAGTTGGTCATTTTCATGATTGTTTCGATCGCACTGCAGACGCATTCGACCAACTACGACCCTTTTCAGCTCAAGTGCTTTTGACTCGAGGGTATATAACGAGTGGAATGTTTATGTGAAGATGTTAGGAAAATATCTGTCAAGCTATTTTTGTAAATCCTCAATAAATAAAGAAAAATAAGATGATGAAACGAATGTGTTGCAGCTGTGGGATTGAATGGCAAGAATGGGGCTTCCTGACGCTTATTATACTGATTTTTCTCGTAAATGTTAAGTGCGGACGACCTGCCTTGGCGAAATTTAAAGATCGTTTGACATTTTTGCTCGTTTTTGCTGATGGACACAGTGCTTCGTTGAATACTTGAAATGTACTTATACAGGTATTTAAATATTTTGAATTTGTATTGCATACGGCAAGTAATCTCTGTCGAATCATAAGTGGAATGAATACAATATCTCAGAAGGAGTTTATACTTTTTACAGTGTATTATGAAATGCTCACTGCTCTCAACACTTGAGCAAGGCATCTAGCAATTTTCTTCCAGAGATTTTCCGTCAGTCAATCTCAACTGTGTTTTCGTCAATTTTCTCTCACGGCTGAAGAAAGAAATATCCTCCCAGAGACTCTCTGCCATGGTACTCTTTTTCAAAAAGCTCACAGGATTTATAAGAAGACGGTTTACAAAGGATTACTGTCTCCTAAGTCCAAATCAGCCAGAGTACCTGGGAAATACGGATTTCCCAGGTACTCTGGCTGATTGTTGAGGAGATTTTTTGATGTTGTGGTTTCCTTCGTCGCAGTATTTTTTATGTTGCAGCTACTGAAAATACTGCAACAAATACAAATTAAATGTAACAAGTTTTTCTTTGAAATGCCTATCTTACGCATTTCCAACAGGCAATCCATTCTATTCAGGCGTAACTAAAGTTACACCAGTTTCTTATTCAACTGTAGCAGGCAGGCATTCCAAAATGTCTACCAGCTATGCATAACGAAAGTCCCGAGTAGGGGTAACATGTTATGCATTGCAGCTGGATGTAGAAGATGCATTTTGAATGTAGTTTGCTATGCCAAATTATTTGCTGGGATTATGCATTCAATTTGCAGTTCATTCAAGGATGAAGAATTGGATCATCAAACGGGTAACTTTTTCTAATACACTATCGCACAATGTTCAAGCAATCTTATTATTTCGCAGCCTCTAAGATGAAAAAAGGAATTATGTGAAGATGTTAGGAAAATATCTGTCAAGCTATTTTTGTAAATCCTCAATAAATAAAGAAAAATAAGATGATGAAACGAATGTGTTGCAGCTGTGGGATTGAATGGCAAGAATGGGGCTTCCTGGCGCTTATTATACTGATTTTTCTCGTAAATGTTAAGTGCGGACGACCTGCCTTGGCGAAATTTAAAGATCGTTTGACATTTTTGCTCGTTTGTGCTGATGGACAGTGCTTCGTTGAATACTTGAAATGTACTTATACAGGTATTTAAATATTTTGAATTTGTATTGCATACGGCAAGTAATCTCTGTCGAATCATAAGTGGAATGAATACAGTATCTCAGAAAGAGTTTATACTTTTTACAGTGTACAGTACAGTATTATGAAATGCTCACGGCTCTCAACACTTGAACAAGGCATCTAACAATTTTCTTCCAGAGATTTTCCGTCAGTCAATCTCAACTGTGTTTTCGTCAATTTTCTCTCACGGCTGAAGAAAAAAATATCCTCCCAGCAGAGACTCTCTGCCATGGTACTGTTTTTCAAAAAGCTCACAGGATTTATAAGAAGACGGTTTACAAAGGATTGCTGTCTCCTAAGTCCAAATCAGCCAGAGTACCTGGGAAATACGTATTTCCCAGGTACTCTGGCTGATTTGGACTTCGGCTGATTGTTGAGGAGATTCTTTGATGCTGTCGTTTCCTTTGTCGCAGTATTTTTTATGTTGCAGTTGCTGAAAATACTGCGACAAATCCATATTAAATCTAAAATGTTTTCTTTGAAATCCGTATCTTACGCATTTCCAACAGCCAATCCATTCTATTCAGGCGTAACTAACGTTACACCAGTCTCTTATTCAACTGTAGCAGGCAGGTATTTCAAAATGTTTACCAGCTGTGCATAGCAAAAGTCCCAAGTATACATAACATGCATTGCAGCTGGATGTAACAGACGCATTTTTAATGCATTTTGCAACGCCACATTATTTTCTGGGACAACGCATTCAATTTGCAGTTCATTCAAGGATGAAGAATTGGATCATCAAACGGGTAACTTTTTCTAATACACTATCGCACAATGTTCAAGCAATCTTATTATTTCGCAGCCTCTAAGATGAAAAAAGGAATTATGATGGTTGGTTCATAACTTTCGTCGGTCTTGTGCATTTTTCTGGGTGGGTGGACATGGGTGTCATTTTCACAGAGGGATACTTGATCATTCCCATACCAGTGTTCGAATAATCCCTCACCCAACTAGAAATATAAGAAGGTAGAGAGTTGAAATGTCAGGCATTCGTTCAAGCAATAAGGCTTATCAGCCACACAAGCCCATTTTGTTTGGAAGTAGTCCAAGTGGTACTTGCTACACTTCAAATGATCGAAAAATCTTTTCCGCGATGATTATTTGGCTCAAACCATGCTACACCGCAATACACGTTCGGATTTCGGGGATTTTCACATTAGTGATCCTCAATCAGAAGAAGAGTGCCCTAATTATCAATATAAAGAAAAATTTCCCCCGATTCTAGTCTGTGCTTGGAGAAATTATTTTCGAATGAAGATGATTCTTTCGTCTTCATTATTGATCCGAGCACGACGGTTTGTAGGATTCTTGCACAGACATTTGTGTACCCAAAGAATGCCATTGCAAGGGCTAGAACTCTGTATCCGTAACCCTTTATCCGTCGTATCGATGGTTTGAATGATGATCTCAGGTAGTTTATCAGTGGGAAAACGTCTTCGCAACCCGAAGACGCTCGTTATGGTGGTTGGACACCGCATCCCTCTCAAGCAGTGAACGTGCTCCTCTTTTTCGGGTGACGTCCAGAACCCCCATTGATCCGTATAAAATCGACATAACAGCAATCGCAACAATGATCTATGAGACCTTCGGAGTGCAACAATATTAGCAGGTACAGTACAGCCATTAAGAGAACCCTCTCTCCGGCGTACCATGGAGCTCACGATGTGTCGCTTCCGAGCTTGATGAATTGATGGAATCGCTGGCGAAAGTAAAATTCACTAAAGGTAGCACTCACCAAACGATTTTCATGTCCAAAATCCTGTGCCTTGTATGTACTTGGTGACATCGTCCAAGAAAACCACAATTTACGGGTATTTCATTCATTGTTTAAACCGGAGGAGGGAAGCGGGCTGTATGTCATTATACGCGTGGATTCCAAACGCATTGGGAAGCTTCGAAGTCAGATAAAAATCTGCGTGGGCGTCTTGTTGGCATCCGAAACTTGCCTGAGAATTCCCTCGCGGTACAACTGCGTCAGGGATTCCGTTCTCCTCAAATACTTGCACTCGAATGCACACAAGTACGCGCACGAACAGTACACGTGGGTGCCGGAAATATCCGTCATCTGTATGGAAATGCCGAGTGAAGGAAACTATGACTTTCATTGAGAATTTTTTTTATCCACGAAGGAACAAATGTTTCAAACTTCACGGGATCAATACAGTATAGTACTGTACTGTATGTGCATTTCTTTCGCCTGGGTATTCCTGCCCGCTGGCTGTGACTATTAATTGATGTTGACGGTAGTCCTGCTACGTACATGGAAGTTACTGCATGCATTCTGGCATCTTGTCTTGGTCTGGCTACCAAGCGTAAATGCATCGATATGACTTGTGAGAAATATTCCGTCTGTTCTTATACCTTTATCCTCCTCACTTCCTGCGTATTTCCCTTCCCACTACTATTGCTAACTTATTCGAAGAAAAAGTGTAAATGCGAGATTCGCTCAGAGGGCTTGAATAAATTTCGGAAAAAAAACAGTAGGAAAAATTCAATCCTGTAGTTTATTGGTTAAAAAAAAAAACCTCTCACGGCGTAATTTTCATTCAATAGCACTTTCGAAGCCAGCTCGTATGTTTCAGCTCTTTCCGTTTCACACACCCAAGTAGTATAAAATGTTCAGCAAATAAAAATCGTTTGCCCTACGTAGAAAATGCAAACCACAATTACGTGAAGCGTGAAAAATTGATGCGATACTAATCTATTGTTCTTTATTGCAGTTATGCGCCTTTTAGCAAGATTTTATTCCTTTATACATGATATTTTCAAATATCACGCTGCGAACATGCACCGCTATATGCTAGCGAGCCACACTTGTCAGCTAGTGCGGGGAGAAGGGGGGGGGGGGGCTGCTGAATCTTTTTTTTTTTTGTTTTTTTCCACCCTGAAGATGTTATAGTCGCACGTGCTCGATTCACCAAATGCTGCGACGAATAAACCGCCTTCTCGATGCGCGGGTCTGATAAACATGGAAAATAAATTGCAAGCTACACTGTTCCCTGTAGAAAGTCCTGAGAAATGCACCAGTCCCGATGAAAAGTCTTCTACTCTAAAAACGGAAGGAATTTTCAAAGATACGCGGTTGGATGGTTCTTGGCGTTCGTGAGTCTTGTGCTTGCGATGTTGAACTCTCGGATGCGTGGCGATGATCGCAATTCTCAGAGATTTTTTTTTCGTTTTCTCACAGCTTTTCAATTTTAATCACTCGTGTGAAATTGAGATAATTTGGAGAAGCATAGCATAGCACAGTACTAAAGAATAAGAAGTATACACTGCACCTCCAAAGATGGAATGCTTCCTCAATTCGATAAGAATTTTAAATAATTGAAACTTCCTCGTGAAAACTTCCTGGCAATTATATTTCAGTAGAAAATGCGTTTCGATGGTGCCGTTTTTTTGGCTCGACTGTGTGCTGAACACGAACTTTATCCAAAAACATAAATTGTATCTTAATTTTTTCCATGTCAGGGTTGCTACTGAAGAACATTCTTACCAAATAAACAGGCGCTTTCTACGTGACCTTTAATTAAATTCAAAATTATTTTTAGGAGTTGCAGAGAAAATCTGACCAAGAATCGCATTAAAATGGGAAAAATTGACGATAATTAATCTTGATGCATTCTGCTCACCAGTCGATGATTCGTGTCATCCCACCCTATTTCAAAATTGATCGCAAAGACGTTGGCCTAAAACTTGTTGAAGCTGAGGATTGGATCATTATAGGCATTGATGTACGTATAGGATGCTACTGCTGAATTTTTCCCGGAAAGATGGAAAAAACGAAAGAAATACCGAACTTCGTAAGGTTTGCAACTACGACGCTCGAAAGTTTCAAGTTTAAATGACGTCAACGGCCCTACACTCTTTGACAACAAGGTGCGCGGAATTAAGTTGTGAACCTGCAAATATGCAGCCAAGCAACCTTTAGTTTTTGTCGCAGATACTTTCAACAGCATACTCATTCGGCGGAACGGTCAAATTGGCACTATTCGCGGGCGGAGGAAAATGCAAGGAAAAACCCTCTAGTGTTAAAAAAAAACTTTGCCGGCACGTGAAGGCTGTAACGACGACAAGCACACCTGACGCACACGACGCCGACGACGTCGACGACGCAAGATTTACGCGATAACAATGACTTTCTATCAATAGAGATAATTCCTTGCTTCGGGTAATGGGTCTCCGCACCGGCCGTAATGCTGCTTCGTCACGAGAGATCGGGAGCGGCAGTTCTCCATTGTCAGGAAGCAGGCGTTCGAGTAGGTTTTCCCATCCGTCCCGCACACCGGGTCGTATTCAATGGAGCATAAACGTCGACACCCGCTGAAGACAATGCTCTTGGTGCACCGCGAAAGAGGAATTTCGTATATATGTTTCCTGCAATGAAAAAGCCCCAATGATCAGGACCACGTCCATCATTTCAAATAAGAGTCGCAGACACACGCAGAATAATAGACGGATACGGATTAGGCCAGCGCTTTTCAACCGTAGGTTCGTGTACCACTCGTGGTATGTGGGCATCTGGGCTAGTGCTGGTACCCGAGACTCAACTTCGATAGAGGGTTTTTGGTCGAATGGTGCAGTTCATCGTAACTTGAACGATTTTAAATGGTGGATGACAACGAATGAAAATTTTATTGAAATAAATTAGAAAGACAATACTTTGACGTTAAGGAAATCGACTCGGGTTGTGGATAAGAGAGAATCGAGTAACTATGAACCATACCTCGTGGGGAACTTTCGAAGAAGAAAATGTGCAATATTTTCGATATTTGAACTGCATGCTGTAAATAGCATTTCAGGGAAAATAAAGCCCAGAATTGAGATGTTATGCAAACAAAGTGATTTCATGATAAATGTACCGTTGAGGAAAGGTTCGAAAGCCCAGGATTGGGCTGTCCACAGTCTCCAGTTGCCTATGAATTATTTGATGCAGTTCACGACAGCCTTCCTGGCATTGTTCATATGCAAAATTTACGGTAGTTTAAGTAGAGCAGTTACGTTGTTTGGGGATTGAATTCAACATGTAATCAGGGTAGAAGCGTTTTCATCTGGATAACTTCACGGGAATGTGTAAACAATTTCAAAGTTTCCGGTTTAGTTTGAGAAAGTAGGCGGGAATCTATTCGCCCATTTCCAAACCAATTCCTGGAAAACCCACGCGGCATCCATGGAAAGTAATCTCTTAACCAATCCAACATTGAACCATTCAGCAAGCTTGGATTTTTTAAGAGCAGGCTTATCTTCCCTTTTACGAGACGAATTTGAAATGCTCGCGGAATGCATCCCGCCATTCAGGGCTAACCTTCAAGGCGGGAATATTGTACGTGATTTTCCCGAGTAAAGTACTTTTTTCTTAAATATAGCCCAAGAATGTTCAGTTCAGATGAAAAATATGATCTCTTTATCTGGGAGCGACGAGAAAATGCCAAATTCAGCGAAGATCCACTCAAAGAACTAAGTAAAAGTTTTCAAGAGCTTGCACGTCTTTCAACGTTCAACGAGAATTCCCCAAAATATTTCGATAATTAGTTCTCTGCATCCTTAATATTAAGGAACTGGCATAAAACCTTCATATCTCAGATTATATCCGAATTAAATCACTTGATTCTCTGAGGTTTTTGAATCATGAAATATTTTGCATGAAGAAATCAATAAGAGAACTACGATTATCCAGGCTAATGACTGGGTTCATGCGTCCAAATTTTTCAATAACACGCTATCATCGAATTCAGACCTTTATATTAAGAAAAAGGAATTCAACCAATTAAAAAGGGAATTTAATGATGGTCTGAAGGTTTTTACAAGCCTCAAAATGCATAACCCGGAAGAAGAGTCAGTCGTCTGAGGAAAATAAAGCCTTGAATACATAGCAATCTGTAATCACTTTTTCTCCTTTGAAAAATTTCGAGCTGTGAATGTCCTCAATTTATCGACATGAAACGCTTAATTGAAGATCATTTTCGATCTATTTTATTTGATAAAAAGGTAAAGATGAGTTTACTTAAAACTCACGAAACTTTTTTTTAATGGGCCAAAATACTGTAGTTGAGAGAACTTGAAATTCGCCGAATACTCGAAAAAAGTTGGCGTGAGACTGCCAAGGAAAAAATGCGGGAGAACCTCATGAATATTCACTCGCACGTTGCTTTAGAAGTGTCTGATGTGATAGACGTGAACTTCTAATACCTGACGAAGTGTTCGCAGTTCGACGACACAATATTTCAAAGTTGAAGTTATAAACGAACTTCAGCGCTGTGCTGAGTAAGGGAGAAAAAAAATGATGATACAGGTCAGCTAGGGCGTAGATTCCCCGCTCCGTCCGAGAATCGCGGAATAACTCGTCCAAGCGTGCGAAACGGAGACCGGCGAAGGAAAAGCCCCCGATGGAGGCCTCCAAGCACCCGCTCCAGATCCGCCGGCGGTCGAGGTCACGAAGAAAGCGAAAAAGCTCACCCGCAATTCTGTGACCTCATGAGACATTCGTTGCGGTAAATCTTGCCATCGGAACCGCAAACAGGTACGAGAGGGCTTTCCGTGCAGTTCTCCGTGCAGTGTTCCGTCGTGCGGCAGTGATGCGGAGGCAGCTGCACCACTCTCTGTCCACACGTGCTGCGCTTCATCTCACACCAGTTGCGGTACACATTTCCGTCGGATCCGCACACCGGGCTGTCCTCTGATGGACATGCCTCTGTAGGACACTCATCCGACTCTGTTAGGTTCGAACAAGCGCCCTTGTGCGCCAAGCGGATGCCCTTACTGGAAATCCCAATTTATCGAGTCAATAATATCTCCGATACAGTACTTACAGAAATATGCGGCTATAATAATGTCCCCTCGTGTACGAAAAAGGCGAAAGCATGAGGCACGAATCGACGGGAAAGCTCACTCTTTGAAGAGTCTCGGTTACATACGTAAAACTTTTCATGAAAAATCAATCAAAAAAGCTCAAGTAATTGTTGCTGTTCGATTACTTAATCGCCCTCATTTTTTCGCATTAATTTTCAATTACCTCGACCTTGAAGACGGCAGGTACTGTACATAAATTCTGGGGGAGGGGGTTTGTTTAAATGAAATCGACAGTAAATTTACTCAAGGATGGACGCTGATTATTTCGGAGCAACAGTTCTGGTCAGCAAAGAACCAAGTTTGATTCAAGCAAACAATCAAACAACGGATATCCGAAGAGTTCACGCATTCATGTACCAAATATAACGGGTCACAGATTTTTCCTTCTCTTGCAAATTAGGAATATTCATTACTTCTTAGACCTTTTGATAGAATGCAAATCTGCTCTTCAGTGTCGCGTTTTTCGCCAGAACTGTCGCTCCAAAGTATAATTCAGCGTCCAACCCCAATTAAAGTTGCTTCCGATCCCGTTCACTCTTTTTCTCTAGAACGTCTGTGTAGTACCTGCTGTAATCAACCTGAAACTTCTCGAAAATTAATTCGAAGAAGAGAAGGTCGGATTAATCAGCCGCACTGCAGCGAACACTTGAACTTTATTCCTGAGTGTTCACATGAAAACTTCTGGTGCATTGAACATCAACAGACGATGCAATTTAAATTAAGTTGCAGCTTATTCAAAATACGCCATCACGGCCAGAAATATACATCTTCTGCTCTTCATCCTTGAAGAATTATGCCTAAAAAAGTGCTTCAAGAAATGGTTCTCCCAGGGTTCGAAGTCAATTACTGGCTCACCAGGAGCGAAAAGCTACCTCTATGGGCTTGGGGGTCGTGTTTTTCAACTGGTAAAATACAGTAGCCTGCAGTCACGCGTAGACTTGGGACATGAAATATGACAGAAAACAAAAGACGCTGTCAGTACGAACCGACATTCGGAAACTTCCAGACTGCATTTATTTGCGTAGGTCACGGAGTCAGTCCCGCACACAGGGTCGAAGTCCGAAGGGCATTTGATGGCGTCGCAGCGCTCAACTTGTTTCAGGCAGCTTTCCAAGCTGTCTGGTTGAATATTTTTTGCATAGGGTCTATAGGAGCGTGCACGTAAAAGAAAAAAAGAAGCTTTCATTACATGCGAGATGGGAGTAAAAGTTATTAAGCATTCAAGAGGTGACAAACTTTATATTGAATTCAACTGCAAGCTTCATTTTCCGCTTTTCAGCGTTCACAAGGTTCAAGAGACGGTTCCCACATCCAAACCTCCTCCCCTCCCCATCCACATTCATCCAAACGCATTCCATCACATCAAAATGGAAAACAGAGAAATAAGCTGCATATGGATATTGAAAGAAAAGTAAATATTGTACATCCCAAAATGTACAATTGCACAACTGATACATACACTTTATTCCCTTCCCTGATAGCATAAACATAATATCAGTAATAAGAATTGCAGCATGAGGCAATTACTAAACCCAAATTGAAGCAAAATGTTTTCATCCTGCTCCCAGATAAGGTTTAGTTGATTGAAAAATTTGGACAACGTTGTATAAATCATCAGTTTTCAAACTTATGTTGCTACAGGATAATTAGGTATATTTAAAGTTTTTTGGGTATTTTACTTCAAATGTAAATTTTCAAGAATTCAGCATCACTTTCCGAGGTTAGTTTATTTCAAGTAAAATAGAACAATCCTTAAACCGATACAAATTATGAAGTATGATAAACTGAAAAGCAAAGGAATTCAGATTTAATTCAAGCATACATTTGGATTTTTACTCATCATATTGTTTTCACTCTTGATGGATAACTTTGTATTCGATTGATTTGAATGTGACGCATAATATCTTAATTTTTAAAGCGTAAAAAATTATGCCCCACACATGACGCATGTCTTCATTCTTTCGATTTTGAAAAAAATTTGCACGTGGCACTTGAATCAATGCGGTGCAGTACTAGAATTATTTAATACAGTATCATCATCAAGTTTTTTAACGTGTTGAAGTGCCACTTATTCCAAGGTTGGAATAAATTTACTCGATCATTAGCCCATGGATCATCAGAGTTTCATGGTGATAACAAGCAACTTTTCCCACTTGGGTCAAGTCCGATTATCGAGAATAATCCGAAATAATCAGGGAGTAATAACTCCAAACTTTCGAACCACTCACCCGCAGTTCAGCATTCGCAATTCACACAAGCTGTTGTACAATCGTCCATCTGAGCCACAGACCGGGGAAACGGGTACCGTTGAGCAATTGGCAGGACACGAGGTGTACTTGGCCTTCGACGAAAGGTTTGGCTCCGAAGCTTCGTTTTGGGCATCATTATTTATGCACAAAGCCATGGGCACTTCATAAACATGCCGCCTTCGTCCAAAAGAAAGAGGGTTTTTATGATGGAAAATGAAATTTCGCTTAACGCACGCGATGCTAATCCTAATCGTGCAACTCTCGACGAAGGCATTCGGCGCAAAAATGTCCCTTCTGAAATCGCTATATACAGTATACGCGGATGAAGCAGTTCATTAATGTCCAGGGAAATGAGAAAACTGCCATCAGGAGATGCAAGGTCTAACTTCAACGAGAATAAGAGTATTTTGCGCAGCAAGACGATGCGGAGTCCTAATTATCTTCATCAGAATGTTAATTCCCTCTTCAGGAGGAACACCCTTACGACGAAAGATATGACAAATCCAGGAATTCCTCGAACGGAAAGTTAGCTTCGCCTTATACAATTTACATTCACATCCTGAAATTTTCCGGGTACATATTTCAGCAATTTACTGACATTTCAATCCATCAACGAATATCTGACCCGAAAACCCGCTATAAAAGTTTCCTCGTCTAGAAGTTTGGAAAATGTGCGAAAGAGAATCGTATCTTTTCATGACTTCATTTCGTTGGTAAACGAATCGGAATCTCAGCTTGTGCGAATAACCACAGATTCAAGCGAGCCGTTCTAAGCTTTGCTTCATTCGAAGGGTCCAATACTTATTTCGCATCCGGCGATAGCGCTTTGAAACGAAGAGAACGATAGAAATGTGATTGAAGCTTTTTACCCGCAATTTTTAACCTTCATCTCACATTCGCTTGAGTAAATCCGATTGTCGGAGCCACAAACAGGATTCCAGACTTTTTTGCAAATATCCCGACAATGACGGGTTCCGATGCAATGCTTAGGCGAAGCCACGACGACATTTTGCCTGAAATACATTTCGGGAAACGAAGATAAATTTTCAAGCTGCTAAGCGGTAGACAAAGATTTGGGGCTTCTTTTCACAAAAGATAAGTTAAAAAAGGGATATCTCAATTCATTATTCGACAGAGAAAGCTACAAACGATAATTTCGAAAATAAAAGACTGTAGAAATCCTAATGGCTTCCATCACCACAAGAATAAAATGCAAAAAATAGTTTAAAGCAATTGATTGAAAACTTCTTTAGTGATTTCATAGAATTATCCACGATTGCCAAAGGCATTGCAAATTTAGAAGCTAAAACTGTGGGTTTGAAAAGGTGTTAAAATCGGATTCTGTAATGCATCAGAGACGCTTTTGAAATTAACGCAAAACATTTCGACGCATATATTACGAAAAGTATGCAATAAAATTGTAATGACTAGTATTACATAATATCTTTCCTGAACTGCGGATGGAAATTAGACATCCCCCCCCCCCCCCCGTGAAATGGGATTTTAAAAAGGGAATCCAGTTTTATGTATTAACATAGCAATATTTATGAAAATTCCGAAAGTTTGCGAGTGACATCAGCGAGAAGACTCACCCACAAGTTTTCCTTTTCATTTCGCATTCGGACAGATAAACATTTCCGTTTGAACCGCAGATTGCTTCGTCAAGACGTCGGAAAAACCCGAATCGTCGCGGTTTTTCCATCGGTGGACACGATTCGGGACATTCATCATTCGACGGCTCGGTCTCATTCCGGCACGCTCCGTAATGTGCGAATTTCACACCACGTCTGCAAAAAATTCTCCGTGACATTCCAAACAACCTTCTTCCTCCCCAAAAATACCTGGCCCAATTTCATTATTGGATACTAGATTCTGCGCTGCTTGAAAGCAATCCGCCAAAAATCGAGAAAAAGGTTTCATCTGAAAAAAAAGAACCTCGGAGGATTCTCTTCCTCCGCAGTTTTCTCCACCACACGGAAGCGTGCAATTACGCACCAGTGTTCCGAATGATTTTATATTTCCGTTTTCTCTGACCTTTCCTTCGAGAAACTTGATATTTCTGAAGAACGAAATTCGTTTATATCATTCAGAACACGGAGCTATATCGCCATCTCGTGTCCTTGTCTAGTCAAGTCTTGAAATGTTTTTCAGCGCGTACGTATCGCACAGACGTTTTTCAAAACATATCGAGTCTCTTTCAAGAGCGATACCCTCAGGAAATTTCCTAATCCATTGGGTTTCACCTCAATCCTGGTGGATTTATGAATTTCCGATTATCAACCGGAGTATCAATCGCCCCATTTGCTCGAAAAATCGTGATTGCGTTGGCTCAAGATATGATACATGATTCTATGCCGGAAACCATGAGTCATCCGACCTAATGTGGTATTTAGACAATCATGAAAGCTTTCCTGGAGATTCAAGTCCTGCTATACGCAAGCCTGGCTTTTGTTCCACTCAGTAATTTAAACAAAATCTGGAAACCCCCAGAAACAATTCGATTTTTTTGTACGGAATGAATAGAAATCATCATTTCGTCTAAATGAAACCCGAGTAAAAATGAGGAGTTGAAAATACCTGTACCATGGAAGCGCACTATTAAAGCTTTCGTTCGAGCTGTTGACGCCGCGCGTATGTTTTCACGAAAGTTCAATCGAGTCTTGACGAACTTCTACAAGATACCGATAATTTTGTTCTATATAGGACACTAACCACCCGTAGATATCTCGAACCACCCACGATAAGTGCCACCACAAAATATGCTTCCGATAAAGCCCTTCCACGACTAATTTCCTTAGCTTTTAACTTCTGAAAGTTTTCTCATCATCAATCATCACTTCATGGAAGTAAAATACGCATGAGAAGCTCACCTCTTCGCCTCAAAATTCGTATATTTTGAGACAAGAGAGGATATTTGAGACCCGATTAGAAATTTTTTAAAACATGGGGGCTCTCAATCCGAAAAGATTAATGAATCATAATTGACTGGATCATTGAATCACTACTGGAGGAGCTCGGGGAATGCCTATTTTCTAAGTGCTCTCTGCGGGTATTTCCGACCGCATAAAATACATCGATTGATGAGGTTTTTTTTTTAGCTTTCAATCAGATAATGCCCAGAAATATATGTGGAATCCGTGGTCTCTATATCACTTCTGTAATGGTAACATCCATCACACCCATAGCCGAACGATTATGGCATACGTAATTCGCCTTTTCTCTTTCCGAAATCTTTAAATCAATACCCGTCATGCCTCGTATTATGAAAATATTTTCGGGAGAATATTCTTTCAGAATTATTATACAGTACTTATTGCGGAAGAATAGATCCGTAAAATCCCTCTCACTTTCAATTTTACTTTCAAAAAATACAAATACAACCTCGATTCTTGCTGTTGCAACATAAACTGAGAAATATTTGATTTGGTACCAGCCTCCCACCCACCACATGGAAGACCGAATGCCGACTTAATTAATATATACACTAATTCTATCCTGTTGTCAGAGCAGCTATCTAAAAAGATAATTTCCTGTCCTGTTTTATTTGAATTTCCCCCAAATTCCATGCGCCGTTCTTCACAATGCTTTTCTTGAACGAGTGGAAACATGTCGGCGATACTCTTTAATCTCATTTACTACATGTAACTGTGACTGGCCTCAATCCAGATTGTCTTCTCTTACACGACAAGGGCTTCTAAATTTGGCAGAAGGTCAAAAGTGCATTGCTTCATCCCAGATGAATGAAAATTCCATAAAACAGTATTGGTATTAAAACTGGGCAGTAAAATATCCCTGCGCGTTTTTTTAGACATACTGCAATTTTAAAGAATAGCATTTTTAATTTTGCAAGAAATATAGCTGTGTATACTGATATATTTTTTCGCATAGTACCTCTGCTCAAGGTAGCTCATTTATCCAATGATGAAGGCATTTCATATGAAAGTAAAACTACAAATGCGCCGGTTCACGCATCGCGGGAAATTCGTCGCACTGCATTGGCATTTTCTAGATTAAAAACTGTTTTCAATGCTCATCGCCTCCTAAGAAAAAAAAACTTCAAGAACAATTTACATAGCGATTATGGGTCTTCGAATGTAGCATAAACGGTCCGGAGAGGAATGCTATTTTTTTATCGTTTCACGGCTTCCTGCTGCGATGTTGACAAACCTTTTCAAGACTGTAGGTAATTAATTAGAACATTGTAAATACTTCGTGTTAGATCGTTTCTGTTTGAAACGGTCATAAAGATTGATCGTACCTGCAAAACTCCACAAGCAGCAAGCATTTATTCAAGTACGTCCTTCCATCGTTCCCGCAGACAGGATCATTTTCTTCGAAGCACTTGTGGTTGCACTCGGACCCATTGGGTCGACTGCACTGAGTGAATGGAACCTGTTCGAATGAGATTGCGTCTACACAAGTGAACAAACGGCTCAGAGGAGCTGATTTAAAAACTGTGTTCGAATGCGACTCCGAGGAAGCTCCCTTCCTTCGAATGCGACTCCATTCACCATACGGATGACGCGGTGAATTATTCAAGCACTCGAAAAATCTACAAGTCCAGCCTTAGCATCACTGAGATAATCGCAGGCTTCACTAACCTCTTTTATTCTCGAGTTACAGGAAGTTGACTTCATCAGCATGCACTTGGATGCGTAGATAACGCCGTTGGATGCACACACGGGATCAGATACTTGTGGACAGTACTTCGGGCAGGTAGACGGCTTTGACTTGTCACTGCTTACGCCCGTCAAAAGACCTGGGAAAGACGAACGACGGAAATAACGGGAGACCTGTAGTTTATAGTCCACCTTCTTCCACATTCATTAAGTTAATGTGTCTCCGTAATAAAACGACGCGTCGTTCTGGTAAAGCGGCAAGCTGGAAATATCAGCAAGCAAAATCTCGCAAGTTTTTCAATTTCCTCGATGCTTGCCCAAGAAATGACTTACGAGCCACAAAAAAGAACATTCTACAAGTCAAATTTTTCCGTACATGTTATCGAATTAATTTATTTTCTATCGCCTTATGCATCATGATTTAAGAAACGAACACTTTTCAAAAACAGCAATATATCTCCGTGCTTTGAAAATTACCATGAAATAATTTTGAATCATCCCACGCCTCCTGTATGAAATAGAAGGCCGCGTGCGACTTCTGGCTGTGCCAAGATTTTGTGTCGAAATATGAGGACTGTTGTATGTATAAGCCTCGGAAAAATATAAAATTTAAATTTGCTGATAGCAGACTCCGCGGAAATTGTTTGAAGAAGTAAAATAATGTCAAGTATATACGCACTAAATCAGGCTATAGCGGAATAGCCTCATGATTTTTCAATGCTCAAATGTCTCGAGTTTGTCACACCCGCGTTTGTGGACGCACTTGTATGCCCAAAAAGGTTAACCTATTACTGCGTGAATACAATAATTCAAGTTGTTGAATGAATGAACAGAACACTTTATTTGCCGCTTTTCAGCGTTCACAAGGTTCAATCAATATTTCCACATCCAAACCCCCTTCAAGTTGTTGCTGTCTATTTTTATACTTCAACAATGGATCAATCGCATACTTCACTATATTTGCTTTTCCTTCGTCAAACAATGTCATATTCAGCACTCTACCCTTCACGGGGTGTCGAAATTGAATGAGTTCCCAGCATATGGCTAAGCACGCCAATAAAAGAAATAAAAACAAGTCAGGTTCTGCCATTCTGAAATAAAGCTGGTCTCGACGGAGCATGAGTATTTCGCAGCTCTGGAATAATCGACATTCTTCAAAGGCGCCAAAGCATAAAAAGCCTTTAAAAGGCCCGTAACTTTATCCGTCTTCGTCGTTTTTCCGTGAACTCGGCAGCTTGAATTCACCAGCATGCACACAGGAGCAGGACCGCATTATGGGGAACACCGTGAAGCGCAACGAATTTTCCGGAGCGATACCGCATGAGTTCTTCGTCCGTAAAATCATACATTAGACTCCAGCTGCACCACGGGAAGAAGTATGGGTAGGTCAGAATCCACGGCAAAAGTTCATGACTGGATCCCCAGGGTTTTTCGAAATATATATAATCTCTGCACTCCCACACGCTCCGCGACCAAAAGTTCGTCCGGTTATCGAGAAAACCCAATCATTCCGCCGCGCATGCATCCCATCGAGTAAAATAAGGAATCGTCCGGACGTTTCTGCATCAGGTAGCGCTGTATTCTAACCATTTTCTTGCATTGGCCGTTTCCCTCTCGTTCATTCGCTCGTCCGACTGAGAGGGTGCATTTGGGAAGGAGAAACGAATTGCTGAAACGTGGGATTCGATTCTGATTCCGGTTTTCCGGAAAAACTGAATTGATCGATAATAGTTTCCTCCGAGCAGCTCGGCGTGAAGCGGCGCTGCGAATCGTCCGTTCGAGAAACCAATAAAGCATATCTCGCATCGTTCTTTTGCCTCACATGATGAATCCGCTATCCCGTGAACGCAAAAAAAAAAAAAAAAAAAAAAAAAAAAAAAAAAAAGAAAAAAAACTAACAAAAAAAAAAAAAAAAAAAAAAAAAAAAAAAAAAAAAAGCTATCGGAAATATGCCTGAGGAAATCATCGAGTCTACCTGCATCGACCACGCTGATCGACTTCATGATGCTTCACGTTCTATGCTTCAATCGCCTGTTATGAACAAATAAAGACTGCCTCAAGTTTCCACTGATGTCTGGCATCACAATCCTTCGCATATTATCGAGAACAATACGCAAGTTGGAAAAATTATATAGATAATTGGATTTGGAGCGAGCTCCGACCTGCAATTGATTCATTCAAAAATGGGAGCGATTGAATAACCCAGAATCTATCACGAAAATCACGATGAATTATTGAACAGAAGCGCCTGAACGGAAAATCGCTGTGAATTTTGCAGAAAAATATCCGCTAAGTCCAAAAAGTCGAGATCCTGAGAAAAAGTTGAAAATTCCAGTTTGCGGAATGTTGAAAGCAGAGAGGAACGTTCTCCTACCAGGATATTTCTATAAACCTTCAGAACTGAATCCAGCTATTGCACATCCGTTCATTCGATTTCACGGAGAACTGCAATGGATGGAAATAAATTGTGGCGACACTTATAGGTCCCTCGTTCTTGCTACAAAGCTTGGATATTTCATTAAATAGGGATAGATGGGTTTAGAGGGATCAACAAAATGAAAAAAGCTCCAGGAGCTTGCTAACACTTGAACAGGTACTTACACCCTTTTAGGTCCCTCGTTCTTGCTACAAAGCTTGGATATTTCATTAAATAGGGATAGATGGGTTTAGAGGGATCAACAAAATGAAAAAAGCTCCAGGAGCTTGCTAACACTTGAACAGGTACTTACACCCTTCCAAGAACAGGATATAGCAGAAAAGGCACTAAAACGACACATACTGATTTCTTCTATGAGTACGTAAGTGCTGTTCTTCAATCTATTCGATAAAAATTTTCTGCAATAAGAAAGTTGAAACCGTGATCCCATCAATTGTCGCCGTCGCTGTGGGGTTAGTGGGGAACGGTTAAATTGCGTGTCTGCGCCGCAACCCAGCTCCGGCGGAAAAAGTCCGGTCCTCTGCACTTCCGGTTCAACGAACGAAATAAACCCTAGAAAGCGTACGTTACATATTAACCCAGTGAATAGTGAAGGTGATGTAAGGTGTGAACGTGCGTAAGAGCACACGCGAAGTTTGGTTCATGCAAAAGCCATAATTTTTTTTTACATCGTTCTTAGTAGTTGTCTGTAAACATTCCCTGTCATGTCAAATTTTGACTCAGCCGCCTGGAGTGCTCTTCTGAATCGGTCTTCCTGCTGCAGAAAGTAGATTGCCGGCAAAAACGTATCAGAAGTACTTTCCCATGTGTATGAAGAACAATCCTGTTTATTATTATCATGAATAAGTTACTCCATATTAAGTCAATTTGAAGTACACATCAACGGAGGTCTGGGAGCATTTCAATACATTGTGATGTGATACTATAAACTATATGGCCCGACAGAAGGACTCCACGACATGCACATAATTCGAATCATGACCATCTCAAACAATAACGAAATTATGCCAACATTTGTACAATGTCTCAAGATGTGGACACACACATTTCCAGAAAATTTTGTCCTTGCATTTTTATATCTCTCGAACAAATTGTTATATACTGTACTGTGCAACCATGGTGGACATGGAGTCAAAGTAATCTCATTATGAATTTGCTCTAATTAATTTTCAAAAGCGCGGGCTGATGTGTGCTTTTCTTTTTAGGAAGTTTTCCATGTGCAGTGTAAATTACAGTAATATTAATGCATATACACAGCATTGTTGTTTTTTTTACTCCTTTTCATGCGTGCTTTTCTTCTCAACCCTTACTTCCCGTACATTAAAGTTACGAAAGACATTATTTATTTAGCGTTTAGATGAATTTTCCCATTTTTATGAAGCCTGAGAATTGATCTAAAAATGTCCCACTGATGTCTATCGGGAAATATGATCTGACATGCGGACATTCCTACTTACGCAAGCGGTCAGAAGTAATTACATCCGCATCGTGAAGACCCATTTTATAATTTTCCCAGCCCTCGCTCGTGCCCTCGCCTTCAACAGAGGAGCTCATCGTTGCCGACATGAATGCTGAATTTCTTGCGAATTCCCTACAACCTTACAGTACTGCAACAACGCATAAAGCATTATGGTTCCATAATTAAGGTTGATTCTGACTCCTGGGATTCCGAAATAAGGCCCTCTTATCTTATCCTAGCATTTGAATTGCCAGCAGGACGAACTGTTCACATCAGAAACATGATTTATTCTTTACGGTGGATATGTTATTGTTTGTCATGGTAGAAATATGAGATGAGAGGAATTTCACTAGATCTCGACTACACGTGTGAATGGATGGAATGCATATCTTGAAATCTGGAAGTAAATACAGGAGGGTTTCTCAACCTGTTAACTTGAAAAGCTCTTTCCGGTGTCGGTTTCTATAGCGGAATCCTTCAGGTAATTATTTTTAGGCGTATTCCTTGACATGGGGACATCCAAGTTCTTGCTTATCTTTCAATGCTCGATAAAGTCCCAGTTGACTGAAATTTTAAATGTCATTCCTTAAATTCAAGCTTTTCATATACAGTACATATTTTATTTATGGACGAGTAATGAAGCCCTCAAGACAGCACCTCTTGAGAAAAACTGATCAACCGCATGCTATATTCTGATACGTAACTCCTATTCGAAACGAACAAGTAAATCGTGAGGACCGTACAAAATTCCATTTCATACGAACGATTAGTCAGACCACGCCAGACCCTGAATTTCGTAAAATATGAATGAACCCCTCTGTCTGGAAAGGGAAGTATACCTCGTTTAAAAAATGAACCACAGCAAGGAGCGACGATGAGCTCCGCACCTTCTTTTTTTCCAGGGCCAAGCCCAGCACAAGAGCACTCACAGCGACTCGGTCCACTCTCGCCTTCAGCAACACGTGTGCTGAGCCTACAGTTCAGCGAGGCATTCATTCAGAAATCGGAAGGGGATTTACGCATCTTGTAGGACGAAACTTTCCGGCGAAAAAAGGAACATCTGAGTAGCTGACAAAAGTAGAGTTAAGATAAATTGTCCTCATTTTTCCTCGACCCTTGCGAACGCTGCGTTTAAGGAAATAACCCAGAATCTAACACAAACTCCCAGGAGGAACAACGCTTTTTCTTTCTGGCATTTTATTTAGCACCTCAAGGTCGGGATTTCTGGAACAGAGGTTCCTCGGCATTTTTAAACTCGCGAAGCCTTTTTTGGAATCTATTTCTATGGCGGAGCCCGTGCTGGTCAGTTAGTGTAATGGAATTTTCTTGGGGTAAAAAACAATGTTACTGTAGTCCTTGTCTGTCTTTCTTAGATCTACCCTTCATGCACATAACGTCCATTACGCACAAAAGCATTGGTTTTTAAATTTCCTTTTTATTCTTTCGTACCATCCTCCGTTCTTTTCATTGACTTCATCAAAACGTCAACGGAGCACAAGGTGAGATTTTTGGAACCAATTCACTATATAGATCGAAGCAACGTTCTACTAGTACCATTGGTGGTACAGGTCGGGTACCCCCCGTGCATCTTGCATTATCATGTAGTGCGCAAGATGTTGCTAAGGTGAATTAGCTACTCGGTCGTAAGACGATTGCAAGTACATTACTGAGACATTAAGATAAATAGAGTACTTTCGATAGAATTGAATGAAATGGGACATGAGGCGGATGTTGTGAAGAATGTATCATAGTTCATACAGGTAGTACGCAAACGTTACCATATTCTGAAAAGGGTTGAATTCCGTAAAATTAGGAAATAATTTTGGTCTAGATCGTACAATAATCGGTCGGAAATCTGAATTGCTGTAAGTGGTGTCGAACGAGTTTTTTTTTTCGATGGGCAGGCTAGGAAAAAAATTCAGAATTACGCAAAATATACCCGGGTTCCGCGCGACAACATCTGCTTTTACTTTCTACTGATTTTGTAATTATGGGGCAGCAGGACTGGAGCGTCATCACCGCAGCGCAGCGTTAGTACGAACGGAGCCACAGTTGGCGAGTCATTGTCTGCATTTTGCTTCTTTCGATTTTTCTTCTTTAGTTGAGTGGAAATGGTTCGGTTCAAAATGCTGGGTTCTCGGAATGGACACAAGGGCTGGCATTGACTTCTGCCCCCTCCTTTCCTCCCGGCGAGGAACTTCCGGGATGTGAGGCAGATCGATGTACGGCGAACACGTATTCGTCGCTCCACCCTCAGAATACTGTACGCCGTAGAGGCATAGAGTAATAACCTCCATTCGCTGACGAGCATAGCAATAAGAAAATTAAGCCTTCCGCCGCCAGCCAATTAAGCACCAGAGACCGATGACGAGTTCGTTCGGGACGACGCGATGCAGGCACGGAAGCCACAAAACCGGTAAATGGTGCAAAAACTAGCGACGAAAGCCATTGAGATAGGCGTTGGGCCAGAGAGAGAGGGAAAAAAAAAGAAAACTCACCGTAAACGCAAGCAATTGACAGGAAATAGGATGTGGTTGCTGCGTTTAGCTGCATTGTAAAATGCACCAGACACCTCGGAGCGAACGAAACGATTGTCTCCTTCCCGTCTTCGTCACTTTCTGTGGACCGAGATCAGAGTTGTCAATTTCAATCTCCTTGTTTTCTCTCGCGAAAGACTGCTGAAAGCGTCACGCTGAAGTCGACGTCGTCAGGACAAGGATGTGATTCACGCAATAANTCTTCGTCACTTTCTGTTGACCGAGATCAGAGTTGTCAATTTCAATCTCCTTGTTTTCTCTCGCGAAAGACTGCTGAAAGCGTCACGCTGAAGTCGACGTCGTCAGGACAAGGATGTGATTCACGCAATAACGTTATTCCGGACGGCTCTAAGGAAAATTTAAAACTGCACTCTTCGAATATGTTTGTTGCGAGTCATAACTGCATAAAGGGTGGTTGAATTGATGCTTCATTTGGCCGAAATGGAGCATTAAAATAAATAAAAGTTTGCTCTTGTTTATTAAATTTTTATGGTAGCAATGTGATGGAATTGTTTGTAGAGTCTTTAAAGAAACAAGAGCCATAAACTTTTCCAGGGCCGAACCAACGTTTTCTAGGACGCACATTTTCGATAAAAGTGGTCTAGGTTTTTAACGTTAGCCAAATTGACAATGCACTGAACATGATCCTACATTTAATGCAATAAATAACACGGGGTTTCCATTTTCGATTCCGTCCAGTATTTCCATACAGAAGGGCTATCAAATTCAAATAAGCGAAATACAGTATAAATTAATTATGTTCAGAATAATTTATTTTCATCTTACTGTAATTCAAAAGATTGAGAGGGTTTGTTCGTAGGTTTCGTCAGCAGTCTTGCGCTTTTTTTCAAGAGCTATTTTGAATGGATGTCGAAGTTGTAGTTACCCAAGCTGAATTGAGTACATAGAGAAAATTTTAAGTGTGCACCATCAACGTGAGATATAACATTTCCCCTCCACACTTGCATGTTCATGAACTTTGCAGGCAGTGAAAGTAATGAAGTTAGTTCTACCGTATACTGTATATTTCAAAGGATCGACAAATATCGTAGGAACAAATTACAATTTCCCTAGATTTGCACAGCATGTGCACACGAAAAAAGACTTTTTATCTCAGCAGCTTTTGTGTTGGTGATGCTAAAATATTGCGACTGTACAAAAATAAATTATGTAAACGATGGATTTTCTAAGAAATGTTGGGTTAGTCAGATGAACTCTTGGCAAATTAACAGTGGTTTTCATTGAGTGGTGGTATCGATCCGGGATTGTTTCAGAGAATTCTGGCTCAGAAACTTGGACAACAAAATAACTCAAGTTCCAGCTGGTACAGACAAAACTGTTGAACTATGCCTTT